TATTTGCATATTATTAGTTTTAATTATATTAATCAACAGTATAATTTATAGTGGAAACTTAAAACTGCAACCCCAATTCAAATTTCCTTGGTCGTAGAGTGATTTTAGGAGGCTGACCTGGCAGCCCATTTAGGCGGGATTTCTGTCATTTTCGCCGACTGCAAGTCTGCAACCGTCCTATTCCCTTCTTTCCTCTTCCTTTTTTTGGAACACACCTCCTTCCTCTGCCCGTTTCCTTCTCGCATCTGAAACGACCGTAATCGCCTGAATCTGCCTCCACTCTTGCATTCTCGCCGCATTGGCCTCTAACGCAGGTGTACACAACAAAGATTGGCTACAAAAATTCCTCAATTGAAACAGTTCACAAACGAAATCCCTAATTACAAGAAAATCGACGGCTACTCGCTACTGGATGTTCTCGGGAGTGCGAAGAGGTGGTCGACGAGCACGGCTTTGATCTCCGGCGATAGACAGAACTCCCTCGCAGGTCACATTAACTAGCAGAGATTCGCTTCTATCTTCTCGGTCAGGGAATCGCGCACTGCCGCAGTGCCGCTACTGCCCAGGCGACGCTTCTCCCAATCCTCTCTAATCGATTCCTCTGCTCAGTCCAAACTCTCTTCCAATTGGTGTCTGCCTCTGCGCGCATCGGGTTCCCTTCATCTCCCTATTCAGATCACTTTCATCCAACCGACGATTCTTCATTCCCGCTGGCCGACGGTGTAGTTTCCAGCTAGCAGCAGCTCGCTTCTCTCTTCTCGGCCTCCCCTGTATCAAAGGTCCTCCATTTGTAACCCTACACATTGCTCTGCATTTCCATAACATGTGTTGTCTGCATTGTTTGATTTGATAATGTTCCTTTATGGGTTGTGTTTGTTGCAGAGATTTATTCCGGCTACAAACAAGAACTTGTGGGGGTGCCTTTAAGGGTTTGGAGTTATTGCATCATTTTGCTAACCCGAGAACCGCTTACCCTGGTAATGTATTGCTTAAGTTATTTTCAGTTAAAGTTGTGCTGCTTTTCTACTTAGAAATTACACCTAGGTCAAATCAAAAGATCCAAAAGAACAACAAACAATAGGATAGTGAACAAAAAATGTTTGGGGTGGAAATGATATGATTATGATGCTCAACTTCATGGGAATATGGTAAAAGATAAACGGATATAATTATGATGGTCCTATGTTTTTCGTTGATTTGTGTTGGCCGCTTCGATTATGTACTGCCTATGTTTAAGGCTCAAAGATTAAGGACATTGAGTTGATTTTGTTTAAGTTTACGAGCAACCAAGTCCAATCTAGGTTTACCAAAATATCCTACAGTTTTTCTTGCACCATGTTTCATATCATCTATGTTGTGTATTGATTGCATTTGTTAAGTATAGTTAGCATAGGGTTTATTTGTTTTTGCTTAGCAATTTGCAGATGCAGCAGTTGGTGTCCCTTGCAGAATTGTAACTGGCAGTTGGAGCATGTTGAAATCGTTGACTAATAACATTTAAATTGAGATTGAAGGAGATGTGGCCATATGAACTTGGATTTGGGACATTTTGGTAGATTACAATCTGTATGTTCCTACAGGGCAATTGGCTTGGAGATCAAATTTGTTTAAGTTTTAATACATGGTGGCAGATATAGGATGAGAACTTGTTTGGTGAATGTTTGGAGATTTGAATTAATTTTTTTTTTTTTGAAAAAGGGGCTAGAGAAGATAGAACATAACCGCTTTGCCAATTCCCTTCTTCTGCCGACCGATACAATCTGCTTCTAGGATTTCCATCCCAATCTGCCTCCGTCTCTGTAAGTTCCATCCCTAGCCTTCACCTATTTGTTTTTGCAATTTTTGGTAGCAACGACATTGTTCGCAAAATTGATCAACCGAAAAATAGAGGTTGATATAACCCTCAACTGGATTTGGGAGATCCAGTTTAGGTTGATAAATCCATCAACTGATAAAGCTCTCAAGTTGATAATTTGCCTCATTCTTCATCAGACTTCGGTATGTTATTCTTGATGTTGTACTTTACTTCTATTTCGCTGCTGGATTTGGACGACTTGGGTTTCCAAATTATGGGTTCTGGTTTTGATTTGTAGATATTGAACATCAATTGGTTTTAGAAACAGTCTCATGCTAATGATGAGGTAAGGATTTCAACAGCTGCCTTTGTGTTAGCTTCTGTGTTATGGGGTTTTTTTCCTTGATCTTCATGTTATTGTAGTAGGCTCTCAATTTAAGGTGATGAATGGATTTCTAATCGCTAATTCTTGGTGAAGTTTTCAAACTTTGTTTGGGCTTAGGCTTTGAGGCTAGCTGTTTAAGTATTAGTCTTGAAGGGTTAGGACTTATTGTCTTTCAAGTTAGCTTCTTGTATTGTTGACGTAGGCAGATTGCTCGAAGTGAACATGCGAAGTGCTTAAGGAGTTATGGTATTGTGTTGTAGTATTCTAAAGAGGGTTTGGTAATGCTGATATAGGCTAATGGCACAACGTGAACTTGCCAACTGCTCCAAATCTTGTGTTGTGGTATTTTCAAGAGGGTTTAGTAACTCTTGCTTCGATTTCCATCGAGTTGATTATGTTTGTATGCCCATTGTTGGTTTAGATAGACGCTTTTGCAAGTTGTGGGATGTCGTCCAAATCCGTTGTTGTGTTTAGAACACTGGTTTCTCCAAAGCTTCGAGCTTGCCAACTGTCATTTGATAAAGGTAAACTAATGTACCTAACTCAAGCAGCTAAAATTTTGGTGATACTTATTAATATTGACAGGGTTATGAAACAATTGACATGACCGTAGAGATAGCGAGTTTATCTTTTCGTTCATCTTAGATGAGTTTGCTCTCTCTTTTCTTTTCCTCTGAAGATTTTCAAAGGAAGTACCGGCAATGAGCTGGCCGTCACAAATTTCAGTTTGAGGCTTTACCCACGCCGCTACCTGTTTGAGAGATTTCAAGGATCAGAGATGTGAAATTCTGCCGCTTCGTTGATAGGGTTCTCAGCCGGCACCAGAATCTCGATTCTCTGAGGCGCTTTTGCTCTGTATTTTCAGGCCCGCCCCAGAACTGAAAGTTACAATATGATTTTGGGTTTAACAAGATGTCTCTGGTTCAGCAAATTGATGTTATGCTTTTGGGGAAACAGAATGCTAGCTTTCCCAATCTATGATTTGCACTTCATATGGGTATCAATTATCTCCCAAGTCCTGAGTTTTAGTTGACATTATTGTTTTTTATGATATTTTTAATCGAATTTGACCTACTTTGCTTATGTTGTACATGCAGGTTTATGGAGTTACCTTCATCTCTTACTTCTCCAATCATAGTTAATTGCATCCTTCTCACCGTAGAATTAGAAATTACAAATTTGGTTCTTATGCATGTAGAATTAGAAATCAGTCATTTTTATCAAGTCTTTGTCTTCCCTCTTGCTTCGTATAGTATTTCAGTTATCTTGAACTTTGTAATAGTATAAAAGGGTAGCATGAATGCCATGTTAGTTCATTTTTTAATTTGGTAATCTTGAACTCTGTGTAAATTATCCTTTTTCTACTGTCATTTTGCTTAACATATATAAATGCATGGATTCTGTTATGTTAATCCTAGGAGGATGCAAGTTCTCAATCGATACTTTTTCTCTTTATTTCTGCAGTTCTCAATTAGTATAGACGGTGACCTAACTTGCAACATTCACCATCAGTATTCTTGCTCCGGTTTACTCTCTACTAATAAAACAAGTTCTAAACAAGCACAATATAAATAAGCAAATTAGTGATGTGTTCATGCGAGGTGCTCCAACTTGGATATAGAAGACTTTGTAACTAGAACTGCAAATTCTTTTTATATATAATTAGTGGGTACACTTTTTTGCTCAAACCTTCTTGCTACTGTTTCACTTTTTGGCGTTTAGTGAAAGAGTTCCCACTTCCTCAATCCCGCACTAGCACTACACGAACTAAAAATTGAAAAAAAGAGGAAAACGTAGTCTGTACCCTCTTTTTCTGTTGCACCCAACCCCTACCAAATCCTTCTCCATACTCTTTCCTCTCCAATCACATCCCTCACTCCCAATTTTCATACAGTCAACAATCATCTCTCCCCATAATCTCTCAAGTCTAAACGAAAAGCCTGAAACAGAAAAGCTCCCTTGCCTCTCACCCTTTCTTATCTATTCCCTAAAAAAATCAAGCGGCCACCAATTCTCGCTTCCTCTTCTTGTATTTGCTTGATAACTACAACAAGGTTCCAATTATTTATTTCTCTCAACCATTGGCCCCCTTCCAGTTACACTGTTGTGAATGGATTATAGTTATCCTCGACGGTTTTTGCTTTTTCATCAGCTTCGGAATGAATTTCTAATGGTAGAAGTCAAACTTCATGCTTAGATAAGGGTTTAAATTATTGCTAAGATAAGGGTTAAAATTATCCAGTCTTATTTTGTTGAGTTATGAAGAGTCAGCTAAAAATGAAATCACTAGGACAATCACTCATCCTAGAGAAAGTGAGACTTTAGACCTTTGCTTTTGAAGTTTGCCAACTCCAACTTGAATTCGTTAAGGTCATACAACCTGTATGAGATGTCAATGGATAAAATCTTTATAGAGATGTCTTTCGTAAATTAGGTTTATATAAAATGCGATCAAAATATGTGATGAACTATTATGGATGCCAAGAGGCTTTTGTATGGTAGCTATATAATGTTCTTTGCTTAAATTTCATTGTATTACTTAGAGATATGTATCATTTACATTAAAAACTTATACTATTATATTGAGTATTTATTTGAAAAATATTTGGTAACTAGGAAAGCCCTTTCTTTGTATCCGACTATGAGTCGCTTCTTTGATTTCCGGTCCTGGCTGGTTTCCAGAGTGTAACTGTCTATTTTTTGATCAATATATGATATCTTTTGACAAAAAAAAGAGTATTTATTTGAAAATTAAATTATAATGGTAAAATTTTATGACTTGCATAAAGTATAAAATATTTATCAAATAAATAATTACAACATAAAAGACTAAAAATTCGAAAGTAGCCTAACTATTATAATAATAATTGATAAATGTAAATGATTAATGAAATTCATTCGACCAACGGGTCGAGAACAAAGCTAGTTAATTATATATTTGTATTTTGAAAAGGGGACGGGATAGCTTCAAATACGTCTCCGCCACTGTACACAGATGACTGCCGTTTCCGTCACTGACGTGTCGATGAATGGAAAAATGCTGGATAATAAATATCGATGTTTCTTCCCCCAGCCGAAACCCCACGCCGCCACCACTTCACGACACCGCCTCCGCCGGCAATGCCTGCCTGCCGGCCGGCCACTCCTCCTCCCATCCCATATCCCGGATACAGCCAGTGTCCACGCGTCATCATTCTGGTCAAAGCGTGGGTTACAATTTTAGGTCCATGTTTTAATCAGTCCAACTTGATTAGATCGTGATTTGAGCTCACTTTGTAATTTGGGCATGTAATTTGAGCTCACTTTGTAACTAATTATTTGCAGGTGCATATATACAACCATGACCCGCCACAATAATTAAATGTTGATTAGATCATTGATGTCAAACGCTTGCGAGTCGTTCTTTTGATTTTGTAGTCTGGTTACGGCATAAGATGTAATGATCTATTCTTCACTATAAATTCCTCAATTTTTAAGGAACACCTCAAAATAAACAAAGCATCTCAAATCTTAATTCGGATGCCATGGAAAAAAAATCCATGGAAACAGTGAGAGCAATTTGTTGGACAAGGACCACTTACTAATAATGTGATCCTAGGAAAAGGACAGTTCAACGTATCTTGATCTCGCAAATAATTAGCTATGAGCATTACACATTGTATGCATGCTATGCTATTGCTAGCAATAGAAATAGAGAGAGATCGATATGCTCACAAAATTATTCGTTCTCTATAGAGGCAAAAAAAGTATATAAGGTAGACTGGCTCTGGCCAATTATGATTAATTTAAGATGTTTAACTCCTTGATTGATTTTAAATTAAGGGCAGGGAATAAAAATATGGTGGCTACTACACTGCACAAATAAAAATAAGCGTATAAAGTACATTTCAAATTGTAACCTCAAACCCTAACTCTAAATTTTTCAAATCAAAGTAAAACTGGAATGATTTTTTTGTGCAAATTCCTATGTTTCTTGTTTATCATATCACAAGTGACTATTGACATCGTTTTGATATGGATCTCCTGGTCATATTGACAATTATGAGGCTAGATACAAAGTAAAAAAGTGAGTGTACCAAAAACAAAATCATACATATGATAATCACTTATATACTCCAGAAAAATATCGTACTCTGAGTGATTTGGCAGTTAGATATACTTCGTTACATTTGACAGAAATGTAGTAGTCTTTTCTGTGGAAATAAAAGAAAAGAAGAGCCACATAGTATAAAGTCTATATCAGCATGAATCTTCAACTGGACAAGAGAAATGGGAAGGGACCAAAAATGAAGAAGAAAGAGAATAAACAAGGATAAGGGTTAGGCTAGGTGTTGGCCTGGGTATATCATATATGAGCCACTTCGCCATTTCCATTTTTTTTTTATCAATTTACTTCTTTTTTGTTCTCTTTTTTATACATGGACTTGAAACAAGTGTATCATCAAAATCGTGCTTTAAAGTTTATATGTTTAGTTTTTACGTTTGTAGATCACCAAAACGCATTTATGTATAATCACAGTTTTTATAGCTAATGTAGTTAAAAATGCACTTTAAAGATTAAAAAATTATGATTTTACGCTTCTTTATCACTTAAAAGCTTATACGTAAAAACACGCTTTTGACTACATTGGTGATACTTAACTGCTTATTTATAAGTCCCAACGACGCAAAACCAACTTATGAGTTTGAAATTTGCACAGGTCCATCAATACTATGTGCTTTAAGACATCAATTAATATTGGGGTTTGACTTTTGAGAGTAGTGGAACATTCAATCTCAAAGACAGTCTTGCTCTTGTATCATGTCATCAACCAAATCGATCCAAATAACTCGAATTATTATGAAATATTTATTTACGATACGTAACCACTTCATTACACATACCAATCTACGGGCCAGCCTAAGCTTCACTCTGTAAAGTGTAAACCAACTTTAAAACTCTGGGCCTCGCCAGTGAAGCCCACCAGCTTGCCTCCGTTAATTTTCCCTCATTATAATTTATTTTTGTTATTATAATGCCGGCTAAGTACATTTAAATGACTAATTAATTTGGTTGATTTTATCGATAACCATACTCGTCAACTCAATTTGTACTTGCATCCATTATAACTGCAAAATAACCAACTTGCTCCTCACATACCCACCACCACCACCCCCAATAATCAAATCTTGAACCCAAAACCCTCCTTTAATTTAATCACATTGTTAATCAATCAATTAATTAAACACATAGTTAAGCCAAAGTTGGGGGGAAATATTACTCTAAATCTCCCAAACTAATTGTCATGTCTGGTTGTTACATATGTGTTTTATAATAAGATGGCTCGTTTTCAACGAAACCGACAATTACATGTATATCATTAATCAATTAATTAAGTAATTAAATCATAGGTTACGAGATAAGATGGGGATTAATCTTTGTCGCTGTCCATACAAGTAGAGGTGGGCAACGGGCGGGTTGGGTGGGTTTTGGTCTCAAATTGACCCACCCGCTTACTAGTGGGTTAGAATATTTGTGACCCACAATCCACCCACATACTTCTGTGGGTTGGGTTGGGTGGGTGGCGGATGGGTGCGGTTGGGTCACGGGTCAACCCGCAAAAGCATTCTTCATCTAGCCATTAAGAAAGTTGACTAACATTTATAATAAGTTCATAGCGAATTAGTAAGACTATATCAATAATTTATGATTTGAGACAATTAATAATTTATAGTTTGCATCCCAATATTTAATGGTTATTAACAATAATCTGCATACCAATATCCAATATCTAATAGATATTGCACAACACAATGACCAATAGTAGTAGTCAAAATTATTATTTATTCTCCACCTTTTGAAGTACTTGGTCAGACTGTAGTGCAATTCGAAAATATGATGAATATTCGATACTATAAGAAACCACATTTTTCATGTAAAAATAGGATGCGGGTCATATGTGTGACCCGCAATCCACCCACCACCCACCCACATAAGTGCGAGTTGGAGATTTACCAATCCGCAATCCACCCACATCAATTACCCACTACGTGCGGGTCGGGTTATTTGCGGGTGGATCGATATCAATCCGCGGATTAACCACCCACGTGCCCACCCCTACATACAAGGCATGTTCTCTCTGCATGTTATATATAGTCGTCATCCCCCTCTTCTTTCTTTTTTTATATTAAATGATATTAATATATTGATCAACTTGACGCTGATTCAATAAACTAAAGAAACAAGTCGCTATCTAATTGATTTTAATAAAAAAATTGGATTATCATACAAAATCTTAAGCTATTAAACCTCACTTTCATTTTCTAATTCTTATCATCTTTAATACGATTCATACCACCCTCTATCAGTCTATCCTTTGATATAATTGTATCAGCATAGTATAATTTTTATAAAATGTGATAAAAACAAGACGTTTTACAGTTCTACATTTTATACCTTATCATTCCCTTGATAAAATCTTTTTTTCCATGAAATCATTTAGCTAATGAAAACATTTAATAAAATTTTCTCTCTAATTTTTCCCAATTGCAAACAATATAGTCCTTTCTTCTGTTTTCTTATAGAGGGTCTTCCATTTATCTCCCACCCCCTTATTTGGAACTTCTTGTATTCTGACTTTCTGTTTGTTCTCTTTTCCTTGTAATTAATTATTAGGGGGAAATGTTGTTTAGTGCTTCATTTTAGTGTTTGTTTCATCTTCTAAAACAAAACATTAGTAGGAAGACTAGGCTGTTGATAAGGTTATACACAAATAGAATGGTCAAAGTTGTTTTTATTATTCACTTTGTCATATATGATTATTCTTTTGAGCTTTTGTATAAAAAAAATGAAGTTAAATTTAAGATAAAATATGAAATTTGTCCCTAAGGCCTAAACCTTCTATGCAGAAGATTGGCACTTAAAATCATAAAAAAATAAAGACCGACACCAATATACCTACTAATAAGTCTTTTTCGTTATTAGAGATTTTTGTGTTCAAATTGGTTGAATTGTAAAAAAAAGTCTCAATAATTTGATATGTTAATAATAGGTTCAGTTATGAATCTCATATCATTTACTAACACGTCCCTCAAATGAAAGAATTCATCGAATTAAAGTTTTCTAAGGTCAAAATACTATATGCTTAACATTGAGAATTGGACTCAAATATAAATCGTCATAAACAATTTAGTTACAGTAACTAAGATGTTAAATCATGTATCTTAATCTCATACCATTTACAAAAATCAATGGTGCTCTTTTGTGAATATTCTCAAAAATTTGTATTGTATTGTGGATTCCAAAATATACTGAATACTGTAGCAGCCCAGCCATAAATTAGATCAGTGACACAAAATTAAGGTTGTCAAACCACAGACCGGTTGGTTGGACCAGGTTTGATTGGAACCGGCCATGAAAACGGTCTCCAACAAGCTCTTTTGAATTTTAGCTAGTAGCCGGTCAAAATTGGGATAACTATTGGTCATATCACTTTTTCTAGTTTTAGACTCGATGGCAAAATGTTTTTTTGGAATGAAAATACTGCATGAGATGAGGCTAGGGTTTTAATGAACTGTAATATATTTAAATGTAAAAGTACTAGATGATACATTCATTTTCGTCATTATACTTTTACATTACTACATTATTTGTAACATATTTAGGGGTGGTTAGCTTTGGTGATAGTTAAATTGATGCATTGTTATCAATACATGTATAATACTATACACGTATTTAAGGAAATTGGTATATTATAGTTTACATGTTTGGTTCCTATGATTTTTATTGTTGTATCTAAATAAATTATATGACTCTTTTGGGTGAAATGCCACTTTAACCATTTGTTTTTAATATAAAACAGCAACACATATCAATGTTAGAGATATAGTTGGAACAAAAATAAAAGGCAAAATACACTTGTATAGCCAAAACTTTGTGCCAATAATAGCCAAATTTGGAGAAATACCACTTATAGCCAGATTTTCTAGTTGTTGTATGACAAATCTAGCCATTTTCGTTAGATACTTTAACGGTGTTAGTAACACCGTCAAGCTCATTGACAGTTTGCTGACTAAGCTCCTACTCAGCACACACATCAGCACCAAATAAGCAGAAAGTGACACATCATAATTTAAATTTATTTAATAATTACACGTCAGAAATTAATTAATAAAAATAAATAATTAAATTAATTAATTAAATTTTCCCTTCCCTTATCTCACTTTCCCTTTCTCTCTCTTCATTGGTGTTGTACTGTTAGAGAGAGAGTTCTTTTCGTTCTTGTTTTTTATGCAGGGAGCTTGTTCTTGAGGGATTGAGAGAGGAGAGCTACCCTAGACAACCTCCGGCTACCCTTAACAAACTCCGCCGCCGGGAGAATGGAGTCCCTCCGGTCGCTGGTCAAGGCGACAAGGAGAGCCAGGCAGCCAGCTGCAAAAGGTGGGAAGCAACAGTGAGGGAGGTATGGTTTGATACAATTTTGTGATATTCAGGTTTTGAGAATGGCATCCGGCAATGAATCATCGCAACCATCTGTTGGTAGCAATGCTGCCCGTAGTGGGTATCGACAAAAGAAGGATCCAACTTGGGATTATGCCGAGCGAATCATCTCAGAAACCGGAAAAATGTGGCATAAATGTTTGTTGTGTAGCCATGTGATTAAAGGCGGAGGGATTAACAGGGTGAAGCAACATTTGGCTGGATGAAAAGGTGACGGTAGTCCTTGCCCACAAGTTACTCATGATATTCAAGTGAGGTTTAGGGCTTTGCTTGATGAGTCAGCTAGACCAAAAGTTGGGTCAAGGAAGCGAAATGAAAGTGAAGATGTTGATGAGTCGGATGAGCAAATCAACACAAGCTCAACAATATCAAAACCACAACCAAGTTTCTTTGCTCCAAGAACAACACCAGGAGCTCAACCTGGAATTCGAAGTGCTTTTGCTGGAAAAGAGGCAAAGAAAAATGCAGACATGATAGTTGCTAAATGGTTTTATCATGCTAAGCTGCCGTTCAATGCTGCACACTCTGAATTTTACCAAATGGCATTTGATGCAGCAATTGCTATTGGCCCTGGATATAAGGTATCTTCTTATCATCAGCTTAGAGTTCCTTTGTTGAGAGATGTCAAAGAAGAATGCACATTAATCATACATGATTATCGCAAGAGTTGGGAAGTTACTGGATGCACTTTGATGGCTGATGGTTGGACGGATATGAGTCAAAGATCATTGATTAATTTTCTAGTATATTGTCCAAAAGGTGTCTGTTTTCTTAAATCCGTGGATGCATCTGACATGGTTAAGGATGCAAGCACTTTGGCCGACTTGTTTGGTGGTGTGATTGACATGATTGGGCCAAAGAATATTGTGCATTTTGTCACAGATAATGCTCCTAATTATGTTGCTGCGGGAAGAAGAATTCATGAGAAGTATAAGAGCATTTTTTGGTCTCCATGTCTTGCACATGTTCTTAATCTTTTGTTGAAAGATATTTACAAGATGAAACATGTGTCAAACTTGGTTTCACGAGCTCAGAAGATCAGTGTGTTTGTCTATAGTCATCTTCCCATCTTAGCTTTTTTGAAAAAGTTAGAGGGTTGGAAACAGATTGTGCGTCCAGGAGCTACTCGATTTGCTACAAGCTTCATATGTATGAAAAGTGTGTATGATCATAGGCCACTGTTGGAACAACTTGTTACAAGTAGCTTCTTTACATCTCACAAGTTGGGAAAGTCTAAAGAGGGGAAGCACATCAAGTCAATTGTGTTGGATAACAATTTCTGGCAGGATTGTTTAGTGATTGTGAAGTTGACATTGCCAATCGTGAAGTTGTTGAGGATTGTTGATTCTGATAAGCAACCATCTTTGGGGTATGTGCATGATGGAATCATGATGATAAAGAAGACTATCAAGAACACTTTTATGGGCAATGGAAGAGGGGCTGATGTATATTTGAAGTTAATTGATGCTATATGGGATAAGCATCTTCGATATAGCATCTATGGAGGTGCTTATTATCTGAACCCGGTTTTTCAATATACTCAGGAAGCTCGAGAGGAGCGTGGTTTGCAAACTTGTCTTATTGATCTTCTTGAAACTGAAGGCCTATGTGATAATGTAGAAGAAGCAATGCAAGAGATTAGACTTTATAGAGATAGGCTTGGAAACTTTTGGAAGAAATCAGCTATCTCGTGTACTT